TTAGACCCATTCGTTAACAAATGGGCAGGACTGCAAAAACTGGATATTTCCTGAAAAGATTCAAGTTTTAAAGGTGATTTTTTATATTGACAAAATACATTCTTCTTTGAAAATAATCAAAATAATTTTTAATCTTTGTTACTTTTTGCTAATGGAACATAACATTCAGCCCTCCATTTTATGAAGTGAAAGATTCGCTTTGCGAAACTGCTGACCGTTCACCAGATACCCTCTGATGTAAAGGGCTGTCTCCCCCACAGCTGCTCCTCGCTGGGCTGTACTGTTGGTGCCAATGACCTTCACTTTGTAGGTGCCTTTGCCGATCCCCCCTTTTGGATGGAAAAATCCTGAATATACCCCATCGTTTGCAACCAGGTCAGCTCCTTTAAAATACCAAGGGAAAAGTCAAACAAGGTGGAAGCACTTCAGTGACTTCGGTTTAGGTACAGTACAGTTTTTTTTTAATTTAACTCATTGTTGCTGCTGCTGTTCTGTGTTTATGTTCTTGGTGATTCCTTTAATGTCTTTGTATTGGAGCATACATGCAAATAACCATTTCATTGCACTTGTGCATATGACAAATAAACTGAACTCAACTGAGTACTTAAGTAAGATCTTGTTTACAGCATTTCTGTTTCTTTTCTATTGGCAATAGCCAGCCACTGGCTCAGTTTCTGTGCTGCAGTGACGTGCCATCTCCCAGGGTCTCCCAGGACAGATAAGGACACAACCCAGACTCAGACTGCTGGTCCCGGGCCTCTGGGGCTCGTCTGCTATCCTGCACAAGGGGAACCATTCAGGATCCTCATTCAGAGCCTTTCATATTGATCTTTGTGGTCATGTTTACCGGCAATACAAGACACAGAACACCATCTCCACAACTCACCTCAGCTGAGTGCACGTGTCCACATAACTCTATCAGTGCCTTAATAAACATGACACTCCACAAGATGATAAAAAATGTGCAAGATTTGCACAATTTCAAGCTCAGAAATATGTGGTACATAGCAACATTTTGGTCTACATTTAGAATTACAGCTTAAATAAGACTAGAGATAATTCTCTGTGGGCACATACAGTACCTGTTCCTTTATCTTGCAGTTCAACTGGAATTTTCTTTTTATTTACCTCCTCCACATAGGCTGTGACATTAAGATTCAGGACAGGGGAAAAGCTCTTAAAGACCTCTGCGATGATCAGCCAGGTGTGATTTATATTACTCATCTCCTTTATGTAGGTGTTCACGATTGCAGGATGTGCCTTTGGATCCGATGGTTTTGATGTGACTGTAAATGTAACAGACTGTCGTCTTGTGTGTGTATTTGTAACCAGGTATTCCCACTGGCCAACCTTTGGAAAAACAGGAAAAAAGAGCATATGAGAGAGACAGAGCCTGCTGACGTTTCACAGAACTCCTCTCCACAGACAACACAGCTCCTCTCCACAGACACACAGAGCTCCTCTCCACAGACACACAGAGCTCCCCTCCACAGACACACAGAGCTCCCCTCCACAGACACACAGAACTCCTCTCCACAGACACACAGAACTCCTCTCCACAGACACACAGAACTCCCCTCCACAGACACGCAGAACTCCTCTCCACAGACACGCCGAGCTCCTCTCCACAGACACGCAGAGCTCCCCTCCACAGACACACAGAACTCCTCTCCACAGACACACAGAGCTCCTCTCCACAGACACGCAGAGCTCCTCTC